CCCCAAAACCCCAAAACCCCAAAACCCCGTGACTATAAATAAAGCACAATTAAAAAGTAATTAAAAATCTAAAATGACTAGGAGAGGGAATTATAAGAATAAAAATATGATAATTTCAGATTAATTATAAAAGAATAAGCTCAATATTATAATCTTTCAATGTAAATTGCCAATCAACAATCCCAGCAACTCTCTCTCAACCATAATAACTTGGTTCATACTCCTAAGGGCTAATAAGTATTGAAAATCTCGAAGAAGAATATAACATTTAAAGATAGCCAATATCAAAGTCACAAGGTAAGTTATCTTAATCTATATAGCCTTCATCAAATTAAAGTATTTCAAATTAGATATTGCCTGAGATAAATTCAGTATCAAGTTTACCTCAATTGTAGAAAGTTCTCAATACAAATGGATCATATACAACAGCTGCTGCATCTCATAAGATATCGCCAGATAATTCTAGAGCAACAATAGACACTATAGAGCAGTTTTAGAAACGGAAAAAGAAGAAAGCAGAAGTATTGTCGAATAAAAAGCGGATCAAAAGTGTATATAATGCAGCTACTTCTCGGTACCAAAACGGCAATAATAATGAAACTCTTCAGCATCAAGATCAGAACTAGTCTAAATCTAACAAGAATCTTAATGGTTAATTGGAAAGTTTGATTCATAGCGATTCTATTCCAATCCCAAATATCAAGCACTCAATTTGTAATTACAAAAATCATGTGTTCACCCTTAAATTTAGAATCAGCAAGTAACGCAAGAAAAAAATCTATATCCATACCTGGCAATGGTAGTATTTTACCAGATAACTTGAAGAATTAAACTGCTCAAAACTAAAGTGAAGATAGGAAAAAACCTACTCAACATCAATCCTCGCAAGCTATCACAATTAAAACTCACGGTCTCACTGAGAACGATAATGTCCTTAATCAACTATCAAACATCGTTAGAGATGAGCAGCTAGTTTTTAAGCTATGCTTTGACTAGAACCGAGTGTAAAAACATATGAGACTCAAATCAATATAAGAATAGCTAGATAGTTTTATCTACAAGAGAATCGGGGATAAGAGAGGTCTCAAAGAAAAAGCTATATCAAAGAGGAATTAGCTGCTAGATCCATTGTTTCTAGAAGAGCTGTATAAAGACAGGATGGAAAAGAAATTCAGATCTAAAGATACAAATTAAAATACTTTAAACAATTCCATTGATGAGGGGAAGACGCCAAAGGGTAGGAATTTCTTAGAAGAAATACTTTCTCCTAAACTTCTCCCCAAGAATCAAGCTTAGACTATGGATAATTAGAAAGAGTAAAAGCTAGTTTTGCCTATGATAACTAATTGGAAGTAAAAACTAGAAATTAAGCGCCAGCATGATAGATAAATGGCCATGGATCACAAATCTGCTAGACAAAACAATGAACTTCGAAGCGAAAATTCATCATCCTCATCTGAAAATTCGGTAATAAGAAAGCTAAACATGGGTAAAAGTAAACATCTTACAGATTTGTATAAGAGGATGTATGCTGAGATGACAAATAAGACTGAAAGAAAGTTGAAAAAGCTCCAGAAGAACAAGTCAGTCAGTGATTCATTCTCTAGCTTTGAAGATATCAATGTGGTTGAATAAGATGAAAGTGTAGGAAACTATTACAGTGATGATCAAGAGGATGACAACTTATTTGTCACAAAGCTGCCTGATGCTACTCAAAAGCATTCCATAGCTGAGTAGAACTATGCTTCTAATCAAAGTTTCAGGAGAATGAGTGGCTAGCAATAACATAGCAACCATCATAACAATGAGCCGAGTTCCTTGTTTAACCCCAATAAAAATCATTTGCCATCTCATTTCAATTAGTCACATCATAGCATCAATCATAACTCAGGTATTAATGGTAATCACACTGGTAGTAAGAACGATAGCACAAACATTACAAATACAAATCAAAATTTTCCAAGTACTAAAAAAAAAAGCATGTTCAAATCTCAATCGACTAAAAAGCTTCACGTAAGAATCCAATCTAGACAATAATTATGAATAATAGAAACTTAATGTCTCAATACAACCAATTATAATATTGCTTTAAAATATTTTTCAATTAATTTTTTTATTTTTAATGTTTATGGGGTTTTGGGGTTTTGGGGTTTTGGGG